TGCAGCCTCATATGCATCAAGTTGTGATGCACTTTGTGTTGTGACACATTCCTCTCATAATCATCTTTAAGTTTTTCTGTGACTTGTGCCACGGTCACCCCTCTGTCGGTTCAAACCACAATTATAGCACCCCACAGGCCTTGCTGTTTCAAAGATGCTCTGCCTAAATTGTCTGGCCATTACCATTTGGCCTGTCACTCAAGTCTTCATGTCACGTCATCTACAAAAACCGACTGTTCACTTACTGTCTAATATATCCCAGACCTTGACATTGTGACATAATCAACATTATTCGCTTCATCTTTGAGTGGTCATAATGTTTTGACTCATCAGTGTAAATATTTTTTAAATAGTCTTGTGGACTTCAAATTTTCAGTCATCTTTCATTCATGAGTTTATTTTCTGCCTTCACAGCTGACAGAAAGTACATAGATTTAGGAAAGAGCAAATTCCTCCAGGTCTCACTTGTCCCCTTGCTAAATGTGCACTCAGAATGTTTTGGCATATAATGTGATTCTTTGGTGCCCTGGCAGCGATCATGTGGAAATTACAGCGAAGGCACAGGTTTTGACCAGTGACTAATAAAGCTCATTTGTGGATATTCAGCACTGACTTTCCACTATTTGAAATGGGGTTGAAATCTACTATGATGCCAAAGAACCACTTGAACATTTGATATGTATGCAAAATATAATACATTAAAAAAGAATTGTCAGAATAATTGGTTGATTACTCTATTACTGATATATTTGACAGTGACATCCAAAGTTTCTTTGTTTAATGCGGTATAATGTGAAACAGTCATGAAGTCTGTGTATTTACTTGTAATAGACAGCTTGCAAAAACACAGACATAGACACATACTGCATATTTTGCATCTTGTCCTGAAAGGTTATTTCTTGAAATTAGGTGGTACCTTCTCTCTGTGTTGAAATACGAGAAGTTTGTTATTGTCCACAACCAGCATGTGATTTACATTTCCATGTTTTCTGTAAAAAGACAGGAGTGTACACACAGTATTACACAGTCCAGTGATTCTGAGGCAAGCATAGACGTGTGAGACAAGCTCTACCATAAACAAGAGTATGAGACAAGTGTGTGTGTGTGTGCGTGTGTGTGTGTGTTTGCGCACATGTGCTTGTGTATGAGGGTGTTTTTAAGATCATATCAGTGTTCTTTATTTCCACTACTGAATCTTTGTTTTGACATCTTTTTCCACTCGTGCCTGAAAGACAAAGGTCATAGAATACACTCTGGCATGTACACATCTCCATGCCATTTACAGGATCACAGATATTATGTATGTGTGTGTTGCATTTGGTCAGTGGCAGACAAAGTATTTTATAGCCTGTGGTACACTGTCTGAAAAAGGGGACTTGTGCAGGTATATTTTTGTCCTCAAGGTATGAAGGTATGTTTCCTAACTAAAGATACTGAAGATGTACCTTTGATGGTACCACCCCAGAAACTTGAAATCTGTTGTGTATATTTTATTACAGTGCCTGTCAGCTACTTTTTTAGTTGACAGGTGTCTCCCATAGCCTGCAGTTTAACTTACCCCTTTATACAGCCTAGTTTAGCTGTTGTCTGGAGATAAACGGTCGTGAACGGCTAAGAGACAAGAAATCTAGTAAAATACAGGTTCTTCATAAACTCTGAACAGTGATTCTTGAGTAGGGATTTTCAGTACTCTTTACACCCTTGCTAGATGGCAGCGTTAATGCTGCCTTTTCTGATTGAAAGTTACCCATGCCATTGGCACCCCACTACCACAACAGATGCTGGCTTTGGAAAAATAAATACAATTGGAATGGTCGTTCTCCTCTTTGGCCTGGAGACCACAACATCAGTTATTTCCAAAAATAATTTGAAAGGTAGACTCATCATCTCAGATGAGCTTTAGCCCAGAGAAATTGGCAGCGTTTCTGGATGTTCTTGTTATATGGCTTACACTTTGCAAAATAGAGTTTTAACTTGCATTTGTAGATGAAGCAACAAAGTGTTTACTGACAGAGGTTTTCTGAAGCCATGTGGTTATACTCATTACAGAGGCATGTCATTATTTCATGCAGTGCTGTCTGAGGGATCAGCGATCACTGGCATTCAGTATTGGTTTTCTGTCTTGCCCTTTACAGATTTTTCTGGATTCTCTGAATCTTTTAATAGTGTTATGGAGTGTAGATGGTGAAATCCTTAAATTCTTTGCAGTCATGCATGAGAAATATTGTTCTTAAACTTAGACTATTTAGAATTAGTTATATTTACAAAAATAAAAAAAAATTGAGGTAAAATATCATACATCTCTTCATTGTGCTGTTTTCAATTAAATACTTGTAAAAACAAACAACAGTTTAGAAATCACTACGTTCTGCTTTTATTTGCATTTTATCTACTGTCCCAACTGGGTTTGTACATTATCATATGAGGGAATTGAATGTGACAGACCTTTTCTGACAAACCAGCACTCCAAATGTGGATGTTTTGAAGCATAGATAGACAGTAATCATCTAATGCTCGTTGAAGTAAAAGTTAGGTGAGTGCTGCTGTGGTCTGACAGAGGTAGTGTTTGCTCAGTGTATGTGTGTATCTTCATTCCACTCTGTTTTGGCTTAGTGACAATGTAAATTCACTTGTGTGGAAGATTTTGTGGAGATTTTATGTCACTTTCAAAATATGCCATCAGTTATGTAATATCATTGTGACAATCATCCTGAGATGCCCCAAATTTATCTTGAATAATTTCAAAAAAGAGATCCCCCATCCCCCATTATTTTTGACAGTAATAGCTTAACATCAGTGTGTGACAGGTGAAGCGAAAACATAGTCATTCTTAGTCCAGAATGTTGCAGAAAAAAAGCTGCTTTGTAAAAATGATGCTAAAACCTGAGATAATGGTTCATGATTATTTGATTAATCATTATTAATCATGATTATTTGGTCATAGCTTAGAGGTAGCCTACAGTGGACATTAGCCACACGTCAACACAGTTGTTGTTTTACAGTACGTGTCTGACTTTTTTTTCAGAGGATTCTAGTAAAAACATAAAGTTACGTCATTGTACCAATCCAGAAATAATTCAGTGATGACAAACACTGGAAAATCACGTATTATACATCCTGTCAGTTTACAGTGTGACCAGGAAGTTCGGCCTCTTTATGTGGATCTTTTCACTTGAAAAAAAGGGAAACCAAATTCATGATAATTATACCATACATAATGGTAATGTGGCCAGCCAATTCTGTAAGACTTGTATTTGAACATATTCTTTGTTTGCTGTGATCTACACCAGCAAAAGAAAAAAGCCCTCTACTAGAAAAAAAGACCCCTACTATAGGTCATCCTCTCAACATATGCAGGAAGCAGTGTTTTCTACTCCCTCTATTTGTGTTTTGGGTTTTCCTGAATGTTGCCAGGTGGTTGTTTGTGTGCATGTTTGTGCATGTTCCTGCATATGTGTATGTGTGTGTGTGTGTGTGTGTGTGTGTGTGTGTGTGTGTGTGTGTGTGTGTTTGTGTGTCCATGTGAGAGAGAGAGGGAAAGTGGGTGTGCGTTCACGTTTTTCTTTGAAAATGGCTTATCAGGTTTCCCCATTGCTTTCCACTGATGTCATAAACAGTAGCAGTGTATCTCTGTTTGTCACACACATACACACACACACATACATAAATCCATTTTACTCTTCAATATATCACTATTGTTTACTAACTGGGCAACTTTTAAATATCATTGAACACATGCGTGAAACTGAATTAATTGCAAATGAATAAAAGAGTAAATAAGCACATAAATGTACAGTAGTAAGAAATACAACAATAACAAACAATTTGTGGACTGCAGATTTATTCATTCTGAATGTGTACCTGCAATACAAGTTCAGTAACTATTAATTTAGTAGCTTTTATTTTTTTAAGGAGCATAATGGGAATGGTAGACAATGCCTATAATCAAAGCCTAAATCTTTTGATTAGGACGGATGAAGAATTAAAATTGAACTAAAAGCTAATGAATGAATTATTACATTTTCAAATAAAGAAAATGTAGTCCATTTTGGACTTCAGATTGATATCTACCACTATTTAATATAGGCCATAGTGAGTGTAGTCAGCAGCAATAAATTATGAATATTTGAATATTTATTTGTTTGTTTGTACCCTGAAAAGTTTGCTTTGAATGTGCTTGGTTTAAATGTGTACATTGGTTCCACATGAATTAAATATCTTACACAGACACAATTACTATCATTCATTTTACTTACTTTAGGCACGGATTGTGTTAATGTAGTGTATTTTATTAACATGGAAGCAATGTACACAGTCAAGTACATTTAAAACAACACTTTTTTCAGTGGAACTGTTATCCACGTTTTAATGATAAACAACCATTTGATATTTGCTTTGACAATTGTTCCCTCTAGCATAGCACAAAGGCATCCTGAATCCTGTAAACTTTCACTATGTTTTACTCCTCGGATTCAGTCGGTGTTTACCCCAGTTGCTCCTGTTTCTCCATCTGGATTTTAATCTAACCAATCAGTGTGTTCTAATGAGCTATAGGGACTGTAGAAATCAAATAAGCAACAATAACCAAAGGCCATTGGTCTCTGGCATTGATTCTGTCTCTTATGCACAAATGTTTGCTGTTGGGGAAGTCATACACTGATCCTGTGGAGCAGAACAAAGTGAAAGTTGAGAGATTAGAAGCTACATTTGCATTACTAGCTGTTGTTTTAAAAGACAAAAGGATTTAACGTGTTGCCTCTTTGAAACAGAAAACCATGGAAAGGTGCAGCAAAAACACCTGTATGCTCCTGTAGAGGTCTTTATCTGTGCTTTTTATTTATAAAATTTTTAGATTTGAAATATGCAGCTTCTATAACCATAGCAAACATGTTTATACATGTTCATCCCTTCAAGGAATACTCCAGCATTTTTAAGTCTAATGTACAGCAACTGCCCAATGACTTCCGCTGGGATTTTTGAGTCAGCAGATGTTCTGGGTTTTTTGTAAGTACAGGTAAATGTGTTGAATTTGTTGTCCTTAGTAATCAGTCAGCAGATAGAAAAACCTGGAGTATTCCTTTAACCTTTTCGCATCAACTCTTCTTTTGCTCCCCTTGGTGCACAGAAATACGATTCATGTTTTTTTCTCATTATTTGGTAAGAACCATCTCATAGAGAAAAATTTGACCTTGTTGACCTGAGCCTGGTTGCATAACCTGGTCTCGTCTGTGGGTGCCAGAGTGCATTGTCTGGACTCATAGTGTATAAACCTGCCAGTGTGTGCCAGCATGACATAACATGCACACACAGATCCCCTGTCTCTAATATTCAAACATGCACAGTGACCTAGTATTCAAACACTGACTCATTCTCTGTCATATAAGCCACACACATTTGCACTGACCCTCACACTGACTAAAATACACATCTTCTGCACACTGGCACATTTTTTTTGTTCCAGGATTAGCTTTTTCATTAATTAAGAAGACCTGAGACACTGTAGCTGTTTTAATAACAGGTAATTGTAATTACCATCATTGATGTTTGGCAGTATGAATAGACATTCACATTCTTTGCAAAACCATCACAGTTGGTTTTACATTTTAGGCTTTGACACATAATTTGCCACAAAGCCCCACAGGAACCATTTGAAATTTGCTTTTGGTGAATAAAATATTTTGATAAGCCTATGTTTGGCTGGTTTACATGTGCTTTACATACTGGATTGCATTTATAATAATAGGGATTATAGGGCAAATCAGAGCAAATTCATTTTGAATCATTTAGGGGCTGGACCTACCAGCATTTTACAGGCTTTCAGTACTCGTTGATATTTTGAAATTCTGTACTTGAATGTTTGTTCTCAAAATCTCTTAAAAACAACTTTGAAGCATTTTTAGTTGTTCATCTGACAGAACAAATCGCTTCTTTTAATCAGTGTTTCTATCTACACTGGCTGCACTAGACACAAGATAGAAAACTACTTTTTCTCATGTGTGTGAATGAAACGTAAACACTCCCTATAGTGTCCACTAAAAAATGTTCCTTTGAATTTGCTTGTTTCAAATGTGTACATTGGTTCCACATCAATTAAATATATTACACTGACACATTTACTATCATTCATTTTACTTACTTTTGGCAAGAATTTTCTGAGCTGAGTCAGGGGCAGTATGGATTGGACACATTGTGGTGATCATTATACTTACATGTTTGAGATTCTGCATCAAACTGGCTGTACTTGTGGGCTATATGCCCTCTTATCACAAATTTTGGAAAGTGGTGCACTTTGTTGCACTCTTAGGGAGAGTTGATGCCTGGCATGAATTTAAGAAATTTTTTTATGAATTTTTTAAGTTTTACATTACACTGAGCTCGTGAACTGGCATCTGGCACAGTTTGGTTTAGTCTGTAACACCTGAACAGTTTAATGTGCAGAAGATAATCACATTTAAATCACAGTATTGATCAGAAAAGTTCCCAAACTGTTCAGCCGAATTGGCTGGTGTAAAATATATTTTGTCTCTCAGTCTGCATTAGACTTACTCATTGATCTGATGTACTAATCCTAGTGGGGGAAAAAAGAATGTTCCAGATTTGTGTGTGAAAGAGTGAGTGAAAGTGTGAGAGAGAGTGAGAGAGAGAGAGAGAAAGAGAAAGAGAGAGAGAGAGAAAATGAGTTTGTCACCATAGCATCCTGTCTTTCTATTGTTTTACATTACTACAAGTGTCAGTGTTCTGTTATTGGTAGGAGTGTTCATATTGAGTGTACGTGTATTTAAATGTGTGTGTGTGTGTGTGTGTGTGTGTGAGAGAGAGAGAGAGAGAGAGAGAGAGAGAGAGAGAGAGAGAGAGAGAGTGAGCGAGCGAGCGGGAATGAGAGAGAGATTAAGGGGGAGTGAATATATTTTATAGTGTTCTGTGTTCCCGTAATAGTATCCCTACTAGAGTTCCAGTAAAAACATCCTTACTGGCAGGCCTTAATGTTTTCAGGAGAAACGGAAGGCGGTTAGCTTTAATAGATGGTCATTTTTTGTTTTTTGATTTCTCTCCTCTCTCTCTCTCTCTCTCTCTTCCTGATTAATAAGGAATTCAGTCATGGAAGAGAAACAGCTGAGAGCAGCTCTACACTTTCTCTTTCCTTCCTTCTCTTTGTTATTCCCTGATCTCCCTCCTCCCCTTCGTGCCCTTTGTTTGTTCAGTTCCCCTTTCTCCCTTGTTTCCCACCCGACAACAGCTGGGGTGCTCTGATTGGCTGATCCACAAGAAGAAGGAGGAGCTATGGGACTTGTTGTGATATTTTCTTCCCTACCGTAGAACAGACTGCTCAGTCAGAGCAGAGTCAGCGACGCGGACGTTGCAGGCTGTACACAGTGTTTGTGCGATTTCTCTGTCTCTCTACAAAAAAAAACTTGTCACTGCCTGCTGGACTACCATTTCTTTATTCCTTTAACCAGGAGTAGAGCGAATTTAAAGGAATATTCTTTTTTTCTATCCTCTCTTACTGCTAGCTTTAGCCCTTTGTGCTTCAGCAGCAGCAGGAAGGCAGCATCGGTCCCAGGAGATAAAGGAGAGGCCGAGTGAAGGAGAGGAAGATAAAGCCATAGCTAGAGAGAGAGACGGATGTGCATGGAGGATGAGTCCGGCTTTAGAAGCGCTGATGGAGGGGTGTAGATACCCAGGGAAAGGGCCACTGAAGGGAGGAGTGATGCTAGAACCATTTGTCCATCAGGTTGGAGGCCATTCATGTGTGTTACGTTTTGGGGAACAGACCATTTGCAAGCCGTTAATCCCCCGCGAACACCAGTTCTACAAGAGCCTTCCACCAGAGATCCGCAGATTCACACCTCAGTACAAAGGTAAGAACCTCCCCACACACACTCAGACACAGGCCTACCATTAAAACCCCTTAAATGGCCAGGACCCACCAACGAGTCCAGACTTGTATTATACTCTTGTACAAATTAAGAATAAATTTTGAAGTTTGAATTGTAGTCTTTGTAATTACTGAATAGTAAGCCATAGGATGTAACCAGACTGGGACTTTAAGGGGGTTAATACAATTCAGGCATGTCTGTATGCTTATGTACTGCTGTTCTCTGTCATTGTCTCTGCTCAGCTCTTTCTTTTTGTTTTCTTATTGCCTTTTTGTTTTGTTCTGTAGTTATGAGTGTATATAATGTATAATATTTTCTGTTTAGATATATCACAGTGAATAGGTTACATAGTAAGGAGGCTTCAGTCATTGTAGGGCCTTCTCTATTTCACACATACACAAACATTACACAGACACACAGATAGAGCAAAATGTACAACCAGACAAGGTTTGAATTACAAAATCAGTGAAATGTGGATTGATGTGAAGGGGCACTCACTTGGGTCCTGACGCAGATTTATGTTATTAGTTTCCAGTGGAATATCATGTTCAGCACTCTTAATCGCTAATATATTTTTATGTCCTCTCACGCATACTGGCGTCACTCCCAGTGTGCGTGTGATGAACAGAAGGTGTTGGCGGTGTCTTTGACTCAGTCGCAATGTGTGTCGGCAGTATCTTTGACTCTGTGGCAATGTATGGTGGGCCTAAAAAAAGACACCAGCCAGAATGAATACGACTAACAGGAAAGAATGCAGTACACAGCCTGGCTCATTCACACTCCCAGTGAAAATACCCCTTAGATGTGCCTTAAGGGTTTCACACACAAGAATATAAGGATATTGTGAAAACCAATACTCGCACTCCCACATACAAAGATATACACATACACTTTTTCTGACTCAGCAGCTGAGTGTACATGAGTATGTTCGCTGGTGCAAAGCAGTGACATCACAGCCTGTGATGTCACCATCCAGACTGCAGAGAGCAGGAGCCCCAGGATCCTACTGTACGACACACTTTTTTCTCCCTTGCTCACACAGCGCATATTAGGGATGTAACAATACAACATATAATTTTGTCGAATTGTACTGCAGTGTATCTTGTTGTGTCTTATCATTGTATTGTGACTAGCATGCTAGCTTGTGGCTAGTTTGTTAGCTTGAGGGTTAAAGCATTAGATAGAGAAACTGTAAAGCATACATTTTGTTTTAGATTTCATTCTTTTATATTGTTTCATAAGCGGAAAGTGGGCACATTAAGATGTTAATGTACAGCGCATTTTCAGCCACTCCTTATTTTTTTGCTATATCAAATCAACACACCATTTGTGAATTGTTACACCCCTAGTGCATATACGACTGTGTGTATTATGTGGTTATTTTTGTATAATTGAAATACTGCTTTTTTTCTTTCATGCTGGTAATGCCTTTGAAACACTTTTCTTCTCCTCATATGATTCTGGTTTTAAAGCTATAACCATCTTTGGCTTTGAGGCACACATTGTAAATTGTCCAAAGGGCCGTGTTGTACAAGTTGTGTCGTAGGCTGCATAACTGGCTGTAGTCTTCTATTCCATGTTCTGCTTTGGCTTTTAATGTATGAGCAATGTAATGTTCACATTGTAAAGCAGTATGATGCCTGGTTCTCCCTGTAAAGCTTGCATGTGTGATCTATCTATGTATGATATTTAATGTCAATATAATATTGTGCTAAACATTAATAAAAGTACTCTGATTTTTATTCTAAACCATCCTGTGGTGTTTGCCTTTTTTGCTGTTTAATGTTTTCCATGGGCATAGATGCACCACCTGTCATCTCTCTTTTATTTGTGTGTTTGTCATTTTTGTAAAAGGAGGATTAAGTTGTGGCAAGACATTCTCTAAAACAATTCCAGTTGTTACATAGTGTATCGTGTGTGCACATGTATCTACTCATATTAACTGTACTCATCTTTTCTCTTTCTGTCTCCCTCTCTGTAGGGGTGGTGTCAGTGAGTTTTGAGGAGGATGAGGAGGGGAACCTGTGTTTGATAGCTTATCCTCTACACAGTGACCCATCTGATATAGAGAATAAGGAACACTTAGCTGATGGAGAACCCAAAAACAAGCTGCTGAAGTGGAGTAAGAAAAAGCCGTCTACCCTTCTGGAGAACGAGAGAAGTAGACAGAGCCGCAAAGAGGAGAAGAGCAAGAGGTGAGCTGCATTTATTCACACAAACACAGGTTCTATGTTAGCATAGTTTTTACACACAGTTACAATCAAGCAGCTGATGAGTAGGCTTGATTACACTTAATTACATATTAGTATAGATAAGTATGTTGAAATATATTGCCAAGACAATTTTAAATAGTGTATCTCAGGGAATTTGAACATTTCAAGCTCTCGCTCACAAACACTGTCTAACTCTCTCTCTCACTGGCTCTGCAGTAATCGTGAGGATAAGGCAGAGGTGTTGTACTACAGCCTGGAGAAAGGGAATGTCGTGCCTCAGATTAAACATAACCCATGGAGTCTGCAGTGCCACCAGCAGCATCTTCAGAGAATGAAGGAGAACTCCAAACACAGAAACCAGCACAGTATCCTTTACTGCTGAGAATATACTGTATACACACACAAATACAGGGTGTTTTTATACAGTTGTATCATGTGGTATCATACATACACCATATGTGGTATCATACATACACCACATATCTGTTTGTAATGTATGTGTAATAAGAATGATAATTTTTTTTTTTTAAATCTAAGGCCCTACCCTTCACTTCAGTAGCCAAAGAGAAATATTATTCCCCTTTCAGTCCAAAAAATGAAGTGTGTAGCTTTTGAAAGCACTTTACATATCGTACCATTGTTGGTTTCCCCTGTTTTTCTTTGGTTTTCCAAAATCAGGACATTTTTGTTCTTAAAATGTACAAAACGGGCATACAATTAAGTATATGAAAATACATTTAAATACCCTATAACCAGTAACCATTTTTTGTTGAGATAAACATGCATGTAGGTATTTGATATTTCAGTACATATAGAACCAGAGGGCATGAAATGACTATCTAGACACCTTGTTGGATCCCCTGGACAGTTTTATTTCCTTGACCCATGACTCCTTTTAGAGTTTATTTTGTTGGAGAACCTCACATGGAGATATCGGGTTCCCTGCGTTTTAGATCTGAAGATGGGAACCCGGCAGCATGGGGATGATGCCACTGAGGAGAAGAAAGCCAATCAAATCCGCAAATGCCAGCAAAGCACATCCTCCTCAATAGGAGTCCGTCTCTGTGGGATGCAGGTAATACAATACACGCTCATACTCTAAAGATATTCTGCACTAGGGGTGTAGAAATGCATTGATGTATCCTGATGCATTGATTGAATCAACTTTGGAATGTTAGAATAGATTGTTAAAATATTTAATAAAGTATGTGCTTATTTTTTGACCAAAAGAAAATTCTTGGGCTATTTTCAAATGTAAGAATAAAAAAATTGGTGTGTTTTCTTATTGTCTGTGTTTTATTACTGGGTGATTAGTTTAAGATATCATGATACATTGACTTCAGTCATAATCAGTTTAAATCGTTGTGAGGTCTGGTCACAAGTATGCTGTGTACAGCCAGAGTTAGTGGGCTACAACAAAGTTATCAATAAACACACATTTAAAACTTTTTTCTGTGACTGCAGGTATATCACAGTGTGACGGGACAGCTGATTTTCATGAATAAGTACCATGGGCGCAAGTTGAGTCTGGCTGGCTTTAAAGAAGCTCTGTGCCAGTTCTTCAGTGATGGACGGGTTCTGCGTAAAGAGCTTCTCTCTCCAGTTCTCCAGAGGCTCAAAGAGATGCGAGCGGTCCTGGAAGCCTGTGACAGCTATCGCTTTTTTTCTTCTTCTCTTCTAATCATTTATGATGGAGCACCACCCCTGGCCCCTGCTAGGCCTCGCCCCTCTCGAGGAGGAGAGGAGGAAGATGAGGAGGATGATGAGGATGAAGATGACGAGGAGGAAGGAGCATACGGCGGGCGCTCACAGAGTCGAGATAGTTCAGGGTCAGGCTCACCGCTTGTGGATGTGAGAATGATTGATTTTGCTCACACGACCTGTCGTGATTACGGAGAAGATGGTGTCGTTCATGAAGGTGGAGACAGCGGTTACATTTTTGGCCTTCAGAACCTCATCAGCATTCTGTCCCAGCTTGAGGAGCACAGCAACGATTAAGCACACACAGGTGTTTCTGTTACTACGCCAAGCACCATGCCAAGCTTACTGTGGATGCCCTGATGATGATAGCAGGGTTGAAGGCTCCTTCGCAATGCAAGGAGGAAAGGCCACAGGGTCAAGGATCAATCCTCAGGTCCCTCAGTGGCCCGCCCTCAGGAGTTGATGGGACTGGACTTCATACACATCTGTTCGTTTTGAGATGTATCTACAATGAAAGAGTGTGGTCCCTCTCTCCTCCAGCTGTTTTCCACTCTGTATGTGATGGAGGGATGGCAGTAGCCCCATGTCTGGGCTCTTTCCTCCTGCTGTGTTTTCATTCGTTTTCTCACTCTCTCTGTCTTTTTCTGAAAGAGACGAGAACTGAGTAGGTTTATGAATTCTGTAGGAGAGACACTTCAGGAGAACTGACAATCCAATTGTTCACTTCTCACATGCGTATGTGCTTTGATGGCACGTGAGTTTGTTGCAACTGTCAAAGACATTTTCTTAATTTTTTTGACCTTGGTAGCACAAAAATAAAAAGATAAGCCATTATGATGCTTAATAAACAATACGTAGACATCAAGGTGCTTTACAAATGTAACAAGACCAAGAGAGATAAATACATAAGGGAAGAAACTCATACTGAGGTCATGAAGGGAATGAGAGATTTTTGAGTAAGAAGATTGCATGGACAGCATTTTTTGATGAGCCTTTTGAGACTGATTTCACTGTTTGGACACCTTTAGAACTTTTGGTTATTTTTCTTCCTCTTCATTCCAGTTATGTTCATTAGATGTGAAAATAGATGCTATAAAGAGAGCTTTATTTATTGATTGGCCTATTTCTACAAAACATGAAAAGGTGAACCTGAGTGGATTATATGACATTCCATCCCACTGTACTGTTATGATGTTATTTATAAGAACCAATCTTTATGTCATGGTTTCCAATGTTTGTTCTGTGTTCAACACTCTAAAACAAAATAAAGAGAATTATGCTTTGATTGTGATAACAATGCCGGAAAAATGTGTTATCTTTGAAAGCCTGTGTGTCTCTATATATACAGCGCAAAAACCTTTTGAGCAGCTGACCACCTGTAACACAAACACATTCTGTGGACAGTAATTGACCATAATTGCGGATTCTGCCTCCAAATTCTGAGTTAGAGGCCTGTAATAATAATTCAGTAGTTGCGTGAATCTATTCATTCAGTTTAAAAACATTCACAGTACCTTGCCCTCCACAAAATCCTTAATAGCCTCCTTTGTAACCATCAGCCTCCCAAGATCTTCATCTGCATTTATCCTGCTTTTAGTTAGGCCAGTTTCATGCCACTGGCTGCTTACCCTGCAGGCCCTAGTCACTGGACGTCTACAGTTATTGTTATAATTTTACTATACATTCAGTTTATAATTAATTATATATTTATGCAACTAATTATATTCACTCTTGATTTACATCCTGTATTAACAGGTTTGAGTTAACTCTCTTTTTTCCTCAGATCCAATATTTACATGGCATTCAGAAAATGGAACCTAGATGTATTTTCATTCAGAATAATCAAAAGGCTTTCTACCTTCATTTTCTTACCCATAAAGAGAGTCAGGAGCATACTTTCACTTGAGTTATAAGGCCATTTGAGTCTAGGACTTACAACATATAAAAGCTGATAAGATTTGGAACACAGTGCAATAGGACAGTAATAAGTAGCTACTGTGCATGTCCAGATCAATGTTGGACACTTTTATTATGTAACGTAATAAACTTCAAGAAGCAAAGATGTTTTAATGAAGTTTGTGAGAACCAGAAGTGCACCCAGGTTAACTGAATCATTCCCAGAGAAAGCTGAGTATAGTGGGGTAGATTGTGCTGTATTTGCTATTGTGCTGAACCTGCGTCATATAGTGCTGCTGCTTTGGCTGAGCTTCAGCAGGCATATTAAGGATTTATTCAGCCTTTCACCCAGAGCTTTCAGCAAGCACTTTGTAAGCCTGTTCTTTGTGAATGCATTTGTGGACAAATGTGTGTGTGTGTGTGTGTGTGTGTGTGTGTGTGTGTGTGTGTGTGTGTTAGAAGAGTGGGAGTTTTAGACTTGTTTTAATGAAACTGTTCTCTATGCTGTGCAAAATTAGTGATCTGTCCTTTGGTGACCAAAGTGCAGACTACAACTCTAAATGTGTGTGTGTGTGTGTGTGTGTGTGTGTGTGTGTGTATTTTTTTTTATCCTCATATGGCCTTACCAGTGTGTGACTGTCTCAGCTGCTCCAGTACTCACATTTCCTGGATAAATCTCTGTGGATTACGCTTCCAAATCCTGACCAGAGAAACGGAAACCACCCACAAGGAAAAACACTGTTCTCGCTCAGCTATGTTAACACACACCCTGTCATCAGTTCACAGCAGCAGTTTATAACATTACTTGTAAATAAGGAAATACCACCATATACCAATTTAGAATTTAGAAAATGTTAATGTCATCACCTTTTCACAGTAGCCATAAAAATCGGAAATTCTTTTGTTTTGGAGCTCCCTCGGTTTTTACACTATGCATTTTTCTTCAATATGGTTGATCAACTATAATTTGATGGAAGTGTGCATCATTTAAAAAACCAGAAGCGCTTTTCATCTTTATATCAATGGTGAACAAGGAGGTCAACATTTGTAAAAGTGTTTTTTTTCAGACATTATTTTTGTTTTGTTGTACCTGATTTTTTGATGTCATAAGAGCTGCAGTGCTGTTCACTTTATCTCATGGCTGTCTTTGTTTTTACAGCAGAGAGTTTTCACCCATCCCTTTTCACCCCTCACTGCCCACTAGCAGGTCAACACACACTGAACAATGTACTAGTCAGTCTGATAGCAGTTATAGGAAAAAGCATTTCATCTGATTATATTAAAAATATCGAGTCGATTTTCATTCCACCCATGGAATGGCAGCTAGGGTGCCTGAGGAAAGACAGTACTGAGGTTGATTTACCGCTTGACTGAGGCATTTCTCAGTTGTGATGAAATCAGTGTAACATCCTTTCACGGTTGCTATCCAAAGTTTGTCATCTTTTAACATTCCCCACCAACGTGTGGGTGTGTTTGTGTGAGTGTTGGTCCAAGCTGGTTTATGCTGGTCTGGTGCTGGTTTGGCTGGTCACCCAGCATGGTCATGCTGGTTGACTAGCATACCAGCATCCAAAACTCAAGATATTGCAGTGTCCCGCTACTGGCTGGCACTGGCGCCTGAAACTTTGGAGGCGCAAAGGCTCATGGTATCCAAGTGCCCTCCCAAAAAGGGACTACTATTGATGTTGTTTATGTATTTGTTAAAAGTATGTGATATGTGTTATTTGTGATGTTCTGTGTCAGGGGGTGTTGGTGTAAGGGAGGGTCACAGTTGGGGTAAAGTGCATGGTGAAAGGTGACCTCACCCTCGAGTTTGGTTCTGCCAGTGTGTTCAATTAAGAGCATTTGTTGCAGCAGAAACATGGCTACTCCTGTTTATTCTTCTGCCCACACTTCAATATGCTGGTTTTGCTGGTGATCAGCATATCAGCTTCCATTACTGCTGACCAGCCTCCAAAACACAAGAAATGGAAAAGGTTTTTCTAGCAGAGACCTGAAGCAGATGGTCTTGCAAGTGCAACAGGGTCTAGACCATTGGTGTCCAGTCTTATCCGTGAAGGGCCAGCATGGCTGCAGGTTTTTATTCCAAGCAAGCAGGAGCACACCTGATTCTATTTGTTTAATCAGCTGTGCTCCTGCTTTGTTGGAATGAAAACCAGCAGCCGCACCAGCCCTTTGAGGATAAGAATGGACACCCCAGTTCTTACTAAAACAAAGGCTAATCCTCCTAAAGCTGCAGTCACACTAGACTTTTGCAGTTCACCTAGCCTTGTGACTGAGGCCCGTCTGGAAGACTGGCGATGAAAAAATCCTTCATGTTGGTGCTATTAGCAAACTTCTTGTTAGCCATAAATAGTAATGACACAAAAGTGAGCGTAATTATATCATTGTTTACTCTTGGTAGGACAGTGCTGCACACTAAGACGTACCAAAACATTTACACAGCTGGCATGGTATGTGGATGTGGGTTGACTTGTGTACAGGTGCCATTTGTCAAGAAACTAACATACTATATAATGCAGTCTCTTTTTCATATGTTTCTTTATAGCCACCAGGGAAGAAATGGTAAAAGGTTTGTGCTTAAACACAGGTTGAATTATTCTCTGTTTTGAAGGTTGTGTGCTATAAAGGGTAACCCCTTCAGAGGTCAACACAGCCAAAGCAGCAACGCTATTAGTAGAGGATGTGAATTCACATGTCCAAGTTCAAAGCTGAGCTTGTTTCTGTTGGTTCCAAGTGTTCTGCTTACAGAAAACCAAACTCTTCATTTTCTTCATGATTAGGTTTGAAATAAACAACGGTTAGAAATGGTACAAGGAACGTAAAACCAAAAATAAAGGGAAAAAATGCAGAAGTTGGCTTGTTATTCAAATTTTCTGTTCCACCTTAAATGGTGCAGCAATAATACTCTGGCACCTGAGCCACTGCTGCATCATTTAATTCAACTGCTCCAGAATGAAAACTTTGCTTTAAATCTGTTTAACTGGTTAATAATAGTTCATTTCCAAAGGAATACAATAACAGTAATGATTTTCTCAGTACATCACTCCTTGTCTCGAGCTCCCTTCATTTTGTGAAATCTGATGATGTAGTCAGCTCTAGTCATTTGTTACCTAATATATACTGCAGCTACTACTAGGTGTAATCTATGAATTTTCATCACATCACTCTAATCTTTGGCTACTAAAAAAATGAGTAAACTATGTTTTGGATGGATAAATCTCTGCTAAATCCCCAGCAGTTTGCATGTTCTCCCCGTGTCTGCGTGGGTTTCCTCCGGGTACTCTGGTTTCCTCCCACAGTCCAAAAACATGCAGTCAGGCCAATTGGACATGGTAAATTGCCCCTAGGTGTGAATGTGTGTGTGAGTGAATGTGTATGTCTGTCTGTCTGCCCTGCGATAGACTGCCGACCTGTCCGGGGTGTATCCTGCCTTCCGCCCAATGGCAGCTGGGATGGGCTCCAGCACCCCACCGTGACCCAGAGGGATGAGCAGTTTAGATGATGTAGGTATGTATGTCTGTAAATCCCCAGCCTGGCGCTCCAGCAGCGGGAGTGAAGAGTCAGAGTCAACTCTAGGAGTCCTGGAGTTGTGCATCACTACTCACTGCTGTTGCAATGAAGCAAGTTTAGAAGACAGACTCACAACTGAACAAATGAAGTACAGTGACTGGCGCTGGAGTGACAGAAACAGAAACAGTTATAAGCCTGCTAAGCTAGCGATAGTATAGCTCCACTGTACTCTCCTTACCACTGTTAAACATTTAGCAGTTGTTTTTAAGTTCTTGGGTGAACATTTGTTGGGTTATGAATTAAAAACATCACTAGTTTATTTTGTCATTATTAAAGTTACAGCTTATTTTTGTTTCTGCTCTGCCTCACCTCATCTGCTCAGTCTGTTCCAACATAAGTCATGTCTCCAAGTGAAAGCTGCAGGCAAGGTAGGAGAGACCTTGGCAGCTCTGGTATATGAAGGCTCCTCTTCAGTGCTCACTCATGTGCATTCGAGACAGCCTGAGCAGGCTGTAAACAATCCAACAGGTTTACATCTTACCTTTACAACAATAAATGATATTTTACATATCAGTAGTCTGGCACCGCAGCATCTTGCCAGAGCATCTGTGCCCACCGTTTTTCAAACAGTTGTGTGCTGAAGAATTGTGGGTAAATGAAGGTCTAAAAGGATACACAAGTTAAGTCTGGTGACTTTTCTGAAAAGGATGCATTTCTTGCTTGCTTTCAAAGGATCCGAAAAAAACAGGACAACCTTCAGTTATGTAACAACTGAGAAATGCGGCTGCAGCCTTGGCTTTGAGACATGGCTATAGAGATGGCGTGCAGGGCAGTGGGGGAAGTGGTGGGGTTTGGATCCATGAGAAAAGGGAGTGTTTAAAATTTGCATA